GATCTCGTGGGCCAGATTTGAGGATCCCTGCTCTAGACGGTTATAATAGGAATGCATGGATTTATTATGGTGTTATAGTACGACTGGTGCTGCCATATCCAGAAAAAAACATGGTAGTGTCACAGTATTTCTGTATTTTTTTTCTGTCTGTTTGTTGATCAAGTACTGTGCTGTACAATGGTATGTGTACAATAGATGTGTAACATGGAAGTACACACACACACACTTTTTCTTTTTCTTCTCCCAGGCTTTTCTTTCTCCTTTCTCAACATCTTTGGTTTGAGGCGTTGCATCATAAACCAAACTTATTTTTGCGCATGTCAAAGAGTTGTTGAGATGATTCATTCACAGCAGATAAGAGATAACATCCACCCAGTGTCTATTGATTCTTACTAGATTATCAGTCTCATCTCTGCTGGTTTTCCTTATTTGGGCCAGCGTGAGAAAGTTGCACCATTAATTGCATTCTTGTGTTCATTAAGAGTTAGAAATCCGGAGATTTTCAGGATTCCAGAGGCTTAAATATTAAGATGTAGCTTCACAATGCTTGTGTTTGGTGCCAAACACCTTTGGCTGGTTTGTGACATTCTTGAAGCCGATCCAAATTCATCAGGCTGCATTTCTTACGGCTTTAAGGGATTTCTCACGCTGTCACTGTTGTTTTACGTGCCAGTGCTTGTGTAAATCCTGGAAATAGATTATGAACGTATATTAAATCTCAGAACCGGTGCTTACTGTTACCTGTACAGTCGGGGTCAGGACTTTTCCTCCATATTTGGCAATCAGTTGTTTGCAAAATACATGCAAACATTGTCATGACAACGCCTTATCTGATTTCCTTGCAGTTCTTGCCCGGTTACGTATGTTTGTGAGCAAATAAATGACATCAAAGTTCACGTTTGTGATGAAATTTGAGGTGTGAGGGCCTGAGGAAGCTTCAGGCTGGACTTCCTGTTGTACGTGTTTCTGTTGCAGAGATTTTCCCAAGCTTGATGTGTCTTTGGAGAGCCGTGGCGTGTCAATGCAGTGACCTAATAACCAGTCACCCATGCACTGCATCTCTCCTTTTGGACTGTACGGCATTTTGAGTTCTGAAACTTACAGTGTGTTTTTATTTAATGCTTAAGATAAATTAGATTTCCTTATGAGTCCTTTATTGAATAGCCTACTCTTCCTTGTTGCTGTTTTTACACTCTTTTACAGTAGTTGTCTTGTCACACAGGACATGCATGGAGAAGCTCTTTAGTTCGGGATTTACACAGACACTTCCTGAAGGACGGTATCTTCTCTCCAGAAACAGTTGGTGGGGCGTTTTTCATTCACACACACATTTGGACCCGCGTGGAAAGGTTGAGCGTTATCGTGAGGTTCGGTGCCCAGACTTTCCACTGTTTGGAAGGGCAGCCGTGTTCAGAGATGGGTGAGAATTCTCAGCTAAACAAACACGAGAAGGTCACAGCGTCTGCTGTTTTGACCGTAAATCTCACCGGATTACATTTGCCAGTGTTTTTGTTTCTCTCTCTAATGTCAAAGACAAGGAGGCATAATTGAAAAGGTCAGTTGAAGAACTTTATGGCCTCTTCTAGTCCAGAATAAGCTGTAAAGTGGTCTGGACTTGAGCTGAGTGGCTAATGTCATATCATGTTTTGCACAGCCCGTAGTCCCTGTTTCTAGCCAGTTCCCACCTCATTTCAGTCCTCCTTTGTGCTTTTCCCCCCCCCCAGGCCTCTGCGAGTGCGGTTTGACATGATGATAGCTATATACCATATCAATTTCGTTCCAAAATATGTCTTTGATCATCATGTGGTCTTCAGCCGCCCCCAAAATTAGCCTCAGTGGTTGTACTGATGTTCTGAAGGTGGTTCTTTAACTCTGACTCTGCTCTAACATTTGTCCTGATTTTTCCACGGTTTGAGGGAAGTGACTTCTTGAAGACGTGATTGAAGTCATGCGGGTGGTGATCAAAGTGCCTTTAGGGTCGTTCACCATTAGTTTTCCATTAGAGAGGTGTGGGATGAGGATGTGCTGATGAATGGCATCGTGCCGTGGTGTGCGCTGAATGATTAAGCGTCTTCCTGTCTGCTTTGGGAGGTGATGCACATCTGCAAATTTGATGGTTTTTGTATGCAAATTAAATTCAGTTTGTCATTCACAAACTGATGGTTCGTTCCCTCTAAGACAAGGAATGTTTGTTAAAGTAAGTAAAGTTTACATGAAATCAAAACTAACCCTAAGATCTAGAAAACTAGAGCCAAGATCCTTTCCAAGTTACCTTTTCTTGCTTGGCACCTTGTAATCAACACTAGTGATTACCGGTTTGACGATAAATCATGATAAAATCCCCCACGGTTAGTATTACAGTTTCATCTTTTAATTATCATTAATACCGTATTAGATTACCGCGATTTGAACAACTCGCGACAAATAAATACTGTCCAGCATAAAGCACAGTTTTAAGTAACAGTCTCACGTGCGCACGGAACACAGAGTAGTTTTGTTTTGAGTGAAAACCGGGCGGAAAAGCTGGGAGGTTTTAAAAGAGTGCCAAGGGAATTATACAAATGAATATATGAATGAATTAATTATATGAATGTACCTCTGAAGGTTCTGACTGTCTTCAGAAACGATTCGATGGCATTTTGTTTTCATCTTCACTCCATGTAATATCTAAAGGAAGTGTTCTTAATCGCAATGCTGCTTTGTCCACGGAGTTTACGGGAAACGGCTCTAATTCAGCTTTTCCATCAGCGTCACCTGCTGTCAGTGAGTGGATTTACAGAGACTTATATTTACATTCAGCCTGTGTGCAGTACTGTCTGGCCAAAAATGGACCGAATTTGCATGCCCTGCTGTAAATTTTGACCGGTTGATGAAAAACAAGCTTATGTGGATTCTACACATTTAAACAATTCAGATAAGTTATCTAGAATTATTGATGGAGCAGATAAAATACATATAATCATTTATTAATCAATTATCATTTTGACTTATCTTTTCTTTATTTAGAGGTTGAAATGTGAGGTTTACCTTTTTATGAAACTTTTTCAAAGCTTTATTTGAACATTTACATTAGATATTTCAACATGCTATTAAACTGTTGTCATTTAAAATCTGAACGTCATTGGTAATGTTATTGTTTTAGTGATTATGCAAACAAAGTCATTTTATTTGTTGTTTGTTGGTTTTTAAATATAAAACTTGAAGTTTGAAGTTATGAAGGTGAAGTGATTTGTGTCAGTACTTTTTGAACATCTCCAGCACATTTTAACAATACCGTGATAATACTGATAACAGTGATAATTTTGGTCACCATAATCGTGATAAGAAATGTTCATACCGTTACATCCCGAATCAACACACACCAAAAAACACACACTTTTTTTTTTTTTTGTGTGTGTTGATTACAAAAATCAATAGAGATATAAAATAATAATATTAGTTGTAAAGTTTGTATATGTTTTATATATAAATCAACATTGTTCGGGGCAAATATATAATAATAATAAACTTTTTCTTCACTCACTCACTCACTCAAGCCAAATATATTATAATAAACACTATTTTTGGCTTATTTCTTTGTAAAAAAAAAAAAAAAAGGCAAATATATAATAATAATAAAATTTTTCTTCACTCACTCACTCACTCAAGCCAAATATATTATAATAAACACTATTTTTGGCTTATTTCTTTGTAAAAAAAATAAATAAAAATTTTTATATTTTGTGATAATTAATCATAATTATCGTAGTTACATAATTATTTGTATTAAATGTAATTTATTTTACAGTACAGCTGTAAAATTACATTACTGATATGACAACAACAAAAAAAAAAAGACTAAATGTAATATTTATGTCTGTTTCTAAATGTGAAAGCTTAGAGATACTGAAAATGCTGGAACATCAGCTGCTGGCGTGTAAAAGAACACAATGCCGCGTCTCACTCTGAAACGCAGCACATTTATTTATTTAATTAAATCGCAGTCTTCGGGATTACATAATCGCAATAAGACACATAGCGTTTTTAATTGATTTATTGTGCAGTTCTACTTGATGGTAGCATTACAAGAGTTCGGCTCGCTGCGGGAATGGAAATTGCTGTCCTTCTGCCAAAGCTAGCAACTCAGCGATGGCTTGTTAGAGGGGCTTGACCCTGGAAGATGTAGAAAGCTTGTTCCCGCTCGCATCTTCTGCTCCCAAGCTAAACACACAGGATTCTCCAGGCTCCGCTCATGCTCATGGAATTCACTGGTGTTTAATGTCCTTTAATCACAACAGCAACCTCAAGCCACCGCAGGCCTCCCTCAGAGATCAACCCAGACAGATTCAGACTGTAATCTGCACAGAAAGCTCTGCCTAAACAAAGAGACTGCTGCTTTTTCACTTCCCTCTCGATTTGGTTCTCAGTCAGAAGAGTGCTGCATGTAGGCCTATGTGACAATGTTTACTGTGCTTGTTTGTACACTTAGACAAAACTTTTTATTTCTATATATCAGTATGACTATAAAATAATAGTAATAATAAGATAAAGTAGTTGTACTCTAAAGTATTATTTACTTATTTGTTTGGTTGTTTTATTTGTATGTCATTGATATAAATCACCACTTTTTTGGCATAGTAATAATTTTATTATTTATTTTTTTTGTCATTTGATATTTGGCCAAATATTTGGAAATAATAATTTCACTGTAAAATAAATGTGTATACAAGATTGTTGTTGTTGTCGTCGTATTGTAAAATAGTGTATATAGGAAATGTAGTATTATTATTATTATTATTACTGATATTTGGTTAAATATGTTGGCAATAATAATGAAAAAAGAAATTAATAATAATTATTTCTTAATTTCGCTGTAAAATGTATTATTATAGTCATTGATATTTGGCCTAATATGTTGGCAGCAATAAAATAGTAAAATTATTGATATTTATAGTATTACTCTGTAAAATAAAAATCAATTACATAAGAAAATATCGTTTAATTTTTAATAAACTGTAAAGAGTATAACTGTAAAGTTACAATACTAATATTTATTGCTGTTTTAATTTGAAATCCTATTTCCTTTTCATTAAACAGAAGGAAAACCGCAGCAAGGCCTTTAAGCTTTTCTTTTGTTGACAACAACCAGTTTATAATTGCGGGCAGATAATAGTTCAGATTTAGTCTCATCTCGTTGTAATGTTTGTTGGCTTGAGCATTTGTTTGCCGGTAAGAGTAGGTCGGGGATTTTTGGAGTGCGTTTGTGAAGGACTTAGTCACACATGAGCTGCCATCCAAAGCCGAAGTGGTCCGAGTCGCCCAAGATTTAAAACTTCCCCTCTGAGTAATTCAGAGCAAATGAAGACGTCTGAGAGTGTTCCCAGGGCAAAGGCTGATGGAAAAGCGTATTATTAAAAACCAGTTTGGACTGTGGTCCTTGTGAGCGCCAGCTTCCCCACCAGAGAGTTGAAAGAGTTTTGTTTGGAGTGGCGTTAAATTATGCTTTAATTTCAGTATCATGTTTAATCCGTTGTAGATCGATTTGGAGCGATACAAACGGTTTCAGTCAGTTCTTGTGGGTTGGATTGTCTCCTGTCATTATGGTGACGTTTGTCTCTGAATGATCTTTGGTTGAGCAGCCAAAAGCATCAGATGTTTCTCCGTGAATGGTTTTGTTCCAGAGCGTCTGTGATTCCCGCAGGTCAGCGGGCGGCTGTCAGATGCCGTATCTTCACGCTATGCAAACAGTAGCAGGAGCGGTGCAGGTGAGCCAAAGGTTCGCTCGTCTTAAGTTGCAGAGTTTTTCCTCGTTCGTTTAAGACGTTCCCTCTCGGAAGCACTCGGACCTGTAGAGTAACGTGTGGGATTCTGGGAGCTGTGACATGAGTTGCTGTGAAGGGTTTTGGTTGCACTGAACCGCGTTTGTTTCTTTGGCTCTGTAAATGAAGGTTTTCAGGAGTTGTTCTGACAGGCCTCTGTATGAGCAGATCAGATGTTTAGGGTGTGGACGTGCTCTCTAGACAAAAGAGTTTCTTGGTTGAATTTGTATTTGTAGAAGCAACAAGGCCTGAAAATATCAATATTTGTTGCAACTACCATTTAGACTTCTTCATCCAACAAATAATTTTATAACATTTTTGGCTTTTGTATCTTAATTGGTGTTTATGACAATGCTTTATCTGTATAATTATTATAGTTAATTCGATTCCATTATATCATGTTTTTATATATGTTGTTGTTGTTGTTGTTGTTATTATTATTATTATTATTATTATTATTATTGTAGTAGTAGTATATTCATATTTTGTTATTACTAAGTTTAGTAATAACGATCATGCAAGAACATTGATTTAATTTAATAGACATTGTCTATTATACTGACATTTCAGAAATGTAACTTAATTTATTCTATTGTATTTTTACATGTTTAATAAGACTCGTTCTTTTAGTGAAATAACAAATAATTTTATAACATTTTTGGCTTTTGTATCTTAATTGGTGTTTATGACAATGCTTTATCTGTATAATTATTATAGTTAATTCTATTCCATTATATCATGTTTTTATATATGTTGTTGTTGTTGTTGTTTATTATTATTATTATTATTATTATTATTATTATTATTATTGTAGTAGTAGTATATTCATATTTTGTTATTACTAAGTTTAGTAATAACGATCATGCAAGAACATTGATTTAATTTAATAGACATTGTCTATTATACTGACATTTCAGAAATGTAACTTAATTTATTCTATTGTATTTTTACATGTTTAATTTTTATAACATTTTTGGCTTTTGTATCTTAATTGGTGTTTATGACAATGCTTTATCTGTATAATTATTATAGTTAATTCGATTCCATTATATCATGTTTTTATATATGTTGTTGTTGTTGTTGTTGTTATTATTATTATTATTATTATTATTATTATTGTAGTAGTAGTATATTCATATTTTGTTATTACTAAGTTTAGTAATAACGATCATGCAAGAACATTGATTTAATTTAATAGACATTGTCTATTATACTGACATTTCAGAAATGTAACTTAATTTATTCTATTGTATTTTTACATGTTTAATAAGACTCGTTCTTTTAGTGAAATATTAATAATGTCTTATTACAAGTTTTTGTTTAGTAACAATAATAATCATACAATATTATTTAAGACATTGTCTACAGATTTCATAATTCATATCTTATTTATATTATTATTATTATTACTACTACTACTTAAATACTTCATCTTTTATTTTGAGAAATTAATGTCTTATTTTATTGCTAATTTTTATTTAGTAATGATTATAATAAGAGTATGAATTATTATTTAATAGACATTAACAGAAATTTCAGATATTAATTCAAATGTAATGCTATTTTATCATATTTTTAATAATAATAATATTATTAAATAATCATTCTTTGAAATAATGTGAAATTAATAGTGAAATATTAATGTCTTTTGTTACTCATTTTTTTAAGTTATTATTATTTAAAAGTCAAATTGTAGTCATGGTAATCACAATTTTTGGCCAAATTGTGCAGCACTACATACAAGCAGCAAACTTAATTCTTTTTATATCAATTTGACTCTCCCTATTGCATGTAGTCGGCCATCCTAAACCTGTATTTACTTGTCACCCGGTGATGTTTACTTGTCTGTACAGGTAAATGCAGCTAATGAAAGCCGCCCATGTGAGTGACCTCATTAGTTTTCCCAAAGTTATCCGACCCGCTCTCAAACGCGGCACTGATTTGTACACAAGGCCAAACTCTCAGAAGAGCTTGTTGTACTGGATGGGTGTAGAGCTGCTGGCCTTCATTTGGCCTTTAACACACAAACGCACAGAGGAAGACGCAAGGTGAATGTGTTTGCATTCACCTTAAACCAACTGTATTAATGAGATAAAGACGTTCCCACCAGCATTTGGGATTGTTCTGCAGGGGGTCAAGTCACAGTTATTTATATAGCGCTTTATACAATACAGATTGTGCCGAAGCAGCTTCACAGTAATAAACAAGACAATTACAGGGTAAAGGTTGCAAGATCATCAATTATGAAACCAATTCAATTTATAAAGCAGCTCTACACAATACAACAGTGTCATTATTCAGCTCAGTTTAGTTCAATGTTGATTCAGTTCAGTTCAACTAAAGTCAGAGTTGCAAAGTTCAACAATTATGAAACCAGTTCTGATCAGCTGCAAGCAGCTCTACAGAAGACAGTGTCATTATTCAGATCAGTTGAGTTCAGGGTTGATTCAGTTCAGTAACCGTGTCGATGTTGCAAATTAGTGTAATTATCCATCTAAAGCTATCTGAATATTAATTGTTTTTTTAACCCAAAGAGGGAAAACTATGGAAGCTTGTTTCCACCACAGAATAAAATGATAAAAAAGGTCATTGTGACTTTTTTTTTGCTCACAATTCTGACTTTTTATCACACAATTGCAAGTTTACAACTTACAATTTGGAGTTCTGAGAAAAAAGTCAGAATTGCAAGAAAAAAAAGCCATAATTGTGAAAGAAAAAAAGTTGCAATTACCTTTTATCTTCTAATTTTACATCTCAATTTTATTCTTTGTCTTTTCTTCACAATTGCAAGTAAATATATAACAGTTTGGTGTTCGCGATTCTTTATATCACGTGATTCTGATTCTCTGAATTCAGATTTTAAATTTCGCAATTATTTTTCCCCCCCTCAAAATTCTGACAGAGTTTGCAGCTTGCAGTTTTGACTTTTTCTTGAATTTTATTACGTCTCTCAAGTTTTGATTTTTTTTTCCCACCTGATTTCCAATTTTACATCTCAAAGTTTTAGCTTTTTTCCCCATGGAATTCTGACTTTACATCTTACTTTTTATTTTTTTGTCTATGGAATAAAAATTTAATTATGACTTGATTATATCTCGTGATTAGGAGCATCTCACAATTGAAAAAATAATTGCTAAAATTGTGATATAAAAAGTCATAATTAGCTTTGTTTTAATCCCATATGTAAACAACTTTCAATAGAAAAGAGTTGTTGAAATAAGTAGCATATCTTTTATCGAGCCACTAATTAAGCTTCAGATGAATAAGCCACACCTAATAGGCGTTTTGACAGGAAGAGCCACTCTGAACTGCCGGAAGGAAACCTGTGATTCTGCACGTGGATTTGTGTGGTAATTCAGTGCAATCCACTATTGTTTTGGAGTCTTAAAAAAGCAAGCGGATGCAGGGCTTCGTTAATGCGACCCTAACCAAAGTTCAGTTCCTCGCACCGATGCCAGAAGCCGCTGATGCAGAAACCTCACATTCCTGCAGCAGAACGGATTGCATCACCGTTTCAGTAATGTCGCAGATACTGTCATTCTGCCCTCGGTCCAAATAACGAAACCTGAACGTGGAAAACCAACACGTACAGGAGCGTTCAAAGAGGCGAGACCTTGAGCAAATATTTCAGGGTTGCTATAGAACAACTTCTGCAATAATATTCTCAGTCACGCTGTGTTAAAACATGCATGAGAGCCAGAGAAGGGTGAGCTTGCCTAAAACAACCCCAGCTTTCTGTGGGACGTCTGCACAGGTTTCTCCTGTGGTCTGCATTTTAGCCGCCCGTCGTTGCGTTAACCTCTTCCATTACGTTAAGTCTGACCGCATGAGGGTTTTCACACAGCCTCAACCTGAGGGAGTGTTTTTAAGTCAAAGTGGGAAATGCTTCTCCCGTCTTCATGGTAGCAAAGGTCAGATTGCATTGTTTGTAATGAAGCTTTGACCTTTGGGGGCCAATGCAAGCTGCGAAAGCAAACAATGGAATTGACGTCAGCCTAAGACAAAGCAATTTCTCTTTCTTAAAGTGACTGGCTTTGTTTCCTAGAGGGAGAAGTTTGCAAGCGTCTCTGGTTTCCTACATGAATGCTGCATGTTATCTGGATTGCATTAACACTTCAGTCACCATGTTGCTCTGTAAGCGCTCGTTCTGTTGTTCTTTAGACCCGTGCAGTGGGTCCGTATGCGATTTTAAAGTTAATCATTTACTCTCCTGACATGCCATCTGTGTTGAGACTGCGCCTGAGAGCGTCGAGTGCATCCGATGATCTCATGCAGACTTACACAATCACGCTCCTGAAGCTCGTTTTAACCTCTTCATAGGCATTTTTCAGATGCTTTGACTCTGATGTCATGTTCTTAATTCAAAACATCTCTTCCATGTTCTGCTGCTTGTACTTTGCAGGTCAAATGTGAACCATTTTCAATGATTTGCATAGGGTTTTCTGTTTAGAGGCTGCTAGTTTAAGGTCAAAAAGCCGGTTTAGGTGGGTTTTCAATCTTTTAAAAGCCACGGACCCCCAAAGAGGATCATCCTCATGTGAGGGACCCCAATCCTAAAATTTAAAAGGCATCTGTATAGGTTTTTGCATTAAGACCCAAGTTCTACTGTTCAAACATAATATTATAAATGTCTAAAATGTTATTTGGAAAATATTTAGTTTCTAGTTTTCAAGTTCTTACTCCGAGTATGTATGCGTACTCATTTTAATCCATTTTATTTTTGTTAACTGTAATGTTTAATTTTAGTGCTGTCAGACGATTAATCGCGATTAATCGCATCCAGAATAACAGTTTTTGTGTTCATATGTATGTGTACTGTTTATTTGTTGTGTGTGTGTCGAAAAGAGTTGTTGAAATAAGTAGCATATCTTTTATCGAGCCACTAATTAAGCTTCAGATGAATAAGCCACACCTAATAGGCGTTTTGACAGGACGAGCCACTCTGA